CCTGGTGGGATGTTTCCAGGTTGTGGAGTGGGGGTTACGCCTGGCGGGGGTGGTTCCGGCACAAAGATCGGGTTGAGCCGACAATTTTGGAACGGAGGGGTACCACCTTTCCCTGCTGCACCCGGCATAGCAGATCTGCCATACTGCCAACCTGGCGCCCAGTGATAGCCCGGGCCCGGCGGTGTTGCTGACGGGCCAGCTGTGAAGACGACCTGCACCATGGGTGCTGGACCGGTAGGGGGGTGTGTGGCCACCCCTTGCTGCCTGTGTGGTCCTGGACCTAGTCCTGGACCTGGTGTAGGCATTTGAGGTTGACTGACGTTGTGACTGTGTGAGGAACCCCCCACTGGTTGTGAATTGGATTTCCCTGGTGTTGGGGCATGTAGGAACTGATGAACCCCTGGGGCCGGCTAAGCTGCAGAGTCTGGCGGGCCAGGCGTAAACTGGACCTTGTGTCTAGGTGCATTGGCTCCCCCTGAGTATGGTGCATTACCCTGAGTATGCATGTGGTGTTGTGGGTGACGTGGGCATGTTGTGCTGTCCTCAGTATGATAATACCATTTGCATTTTTTGCACCAGTCAGTCGCTTGCGACACAAATTCCAGTTTAAAAACTTCCTCATCTTTTTCAAACTCTACTTTCTCTTTCCATTTCTGTCTCGCCTCCGGTGCCAAATCAAATTTCATGTTCATCAGTCGAGGGAAATAACTATCCTTCTGTGGTGGGTAGTTTTTTTGGATTTTGGCCATGGAATTCTCTACTGCCCAGTGCAAATGTATGGCCATAGCCCAAAATTTGTCTGCGGCCTCTTGAGCACATAGGTCATCCAGTTCCGTTTTCGTGGCCCAATGACGAAATTGCACCTGATACCGAATATCCGGACTGCCCGCTGTCTGAGGGTCTTTGAACACAATTGTGTCCGTACCTTTTTGGATCATGAAATCGGCAATATCTTGTGTTGTGGCCACGTATGAAAAGACACTGGAACCTTCAGATTTAACTCTTCCCCTTTTCAGAGCTGGGTTTACTGCAGGGTTTGCAAACCACCCATCCTCATAAATACGGATACGCATTTCCTTTATTTTATCCGGTAAATCCCTTGCATCCCCTTGAAAAATTACGACCACGTAGTCATCCTGCCCTCTGTTACACACGTCCCATGGTCCAGCCCTTTGGGTAAAATCCCGTCCTCAAAACACTTTTGAATCATATCTCTAATTTGATCCTCCCCAGAACTGGATGGAGGATTCATCTTTGTTTATTTTGAGCCAGACGGGGTTACGAAATGAGGGCTGCTAACCTATTCGTTTTAAAGTACTAAGGGAGTTAATCCAGCCAGATCACCCTACTACTTCGCGGGAGAACACAGACAAACCACGAGCACGATGCTAGTCGTTAGGACCCCTGTACCAATAAACAAGCAGGTAGGCCCATATAGGCGAGAAGGTAAACTGCTGGAAGCAGTCTACAGTTAAATACCTATAGTAGAATATCATGCGAGACCCGAGTTAATTAACCAAAAAATCAAGCTGGATACCAGCAATGAGGTTTGCAAAGATAGGGAATTACCACACGAAGGGGCCTCGAAGACCATCCTCGGCTTACGCCACCTGTGCCCTTATCGCTTCAAAACTGTTGTCGTTGACTCCATTGAACCAAGGTCTTCCGTCGCAGAACTATGAGACTATAGTCGTCTCCACTTATAGCGTGAGATCATCTTCTTTGAATAGGACCTGAGATCAGTCCTATTACATCGAGAGCGCACCTTTGCTGAGGCCGGTGAGAATCCCTCGCACCACTCACAATTGCCTTGGGCAGCAAACGAGGATGCCGCAAAAGCGTCCCCCGACAAGTCCACCCGAACCCATTAACACGAAGTCGAACGTACTCCGTCTCTCCTCAGTTGCGTCCGACCTTCATCTTGGACGGGCGCCGAAGCGCTCACCAGTTTCACGCTATTCGCATTAAGGTATGTGAGGCTCCTCGGGACTCTCCGTTGACTCCTAGACCTCCCAAGCTCTTGGCTATGGTTGGCGTCAACATGTTGACGCGAGGTGGTAGTCACCTCATTCCCATGCTGTGGGCACAGGGGAATGACGGGAAAGCGCCAGCACAAACTACCACTGGCGGCGCGTTACGGAGCGCTATCGTGCGCCCGTCGCCGCGCCCCCCCCCCCGATCTCCTGTTCAACCCATATTGTTTGGATGGAAGGGGACTTCAAGTGAAAAAAATATCCCATTATATAGGCACAAACCAAAGACAGGGGTATCCTTCCAACGACAAAAGGTTAAAAAGAAACCTGGTGAGATGGCCCTGAAAAGGTTTCAAAAACAAATGGGACTTCAAGATAAACAGCCAGATTTCAGAGCCATCTGGAGGGCTTTGAGAAAGTTGCCGTCTCAAAGGCATGCAGGCCACACCATCAGCAGTATGGTTGGAGGGAAAGGGAATGGAAATGGACATCAATTCTCAGAGATGTGATTGGGGCTGGGAAACCAGCACACATCTATGGCTACACTGCCCATTGTCTGAAGAGCTCTGGCCTTGGTGGAAGCAGCACTGGCACAACGCAGTTGGGGCTCAATGGGATTGGTCAGATGAATGGATCTTGCATGCCATCCCTCCACAGAAATCAAACTTCACCTCAGGATGGGGTTATGTGGCTTTTGTCTGTAGGGGCACAATTATGAGTAATCTGTGGAAAGCACGTAATGCGAAGGTCTTTAAAGATGAAAAAATGCCAGTTCAACAGCAGAAAACGCTAGTGAAGGAACAGATCCGGTTGGCCATCCGGTCGGATTGGCAGGCTACGAAGAGCAGACGATCAAGATTTTGCCACACTGGGCAAAAGGTAATACGTGGGCTTCTGTCTCGTCTGAGGGACGTTTGGAGCTCTCCAAGTGGTTACTTCAAAGTAGTGGAGTGACTTGATAGGTCGCAAGTTAGACCGAGAGGACTTAAATAGGAAATTGCTGGTCTTTGGACCCCCCAAGGAATAAACAGGCTGAGAACAGTCCATTTGATGAGAGATAGACACAGTGCTTCAAGGCAATTATGAGAAGATGGATTTTGGAGAGAGAGAGTAGGCATGGGACGCTGGACCCGGTTGCCAGCTTTGCTGTTTGGTTCTATGGCCACTCCGGGTTGAATTGTGAGGTCCCCGGCCTCAAATTCTTATCATTTGGAAATAAAGATGATTTTTTCTCAAACAAAAAAAAAAAACAAAAAACAAAAATGCATCCCCGTGCGGCGGGTTTGCGACACACACAGGTTGGCCGCCACTCCACTGCACAACGTTGTAAATGCAAATCGACCTGCTGACGGTGTTTGATGTGCATTGAAAACTTTGGATCAGTCGAAATGTATCTGGTCCAGAAGAAACACTAACATACATGCAGAACCTTAAGTCGTGGAGCGAGGCTCACGTGACTTCGGAAAAGATTTCGAGGCGCGGACAAGTTTTCTGCGTTCCTATATCCCTGCGCGGCAAGTCGTTGCTTCATCGCACATGCGCCGGAATAACAAGTGGGCGACTGAAAATTTTAAGGCGCGGACAAGCTCCCTCCGTTCCTGTATCCCTGCGCGGCAAGTCGTTCCTTCATGGCACATGCGAAGGACAAACATTTGTTTTTTTTTCTTTTCTAAGGCTAAGGGCCTCGCCACACCACTGTCGAAACGAAAAAAGCACTAGTGGATCTTCTCCAAAATGTGACCAGATTCATCCGGTGTTATTCATAGGAACGGATGCATCTTGCCACTTTCTGTGGGAACATGCATTTCAACTTTTTCGTTTCGACAGTGGTGTGGCGAGGCCCAACCAATGGGCGACCGCTTAGCTATGCCGCACCAGTTACCAAATTACCAAATTGAGAAAAAGGTCAAAACCGTGGCAGAAGTACCTTGCCGCAAATTAGGGGAAGATACGTTCTCGTTTTGCAAATTTGGCAAGTGGTGTGGCAAGGACTACAGTAGTCGCGTGCAAGCAAGCGATGGACGAAGCGATGGCTGCGCCGGGCCGCGCGCGCGCGCGCGCCCCGGCTTCAAGCCGTGACCGTTGAAAACCCTGGCTCCTCTTGCTGGGGCGGAGTCCCACTACAGTAGCATCGTTGAGTCTCGTCAATGCTCGGAATCTGGACGTGTTTGTGGAGATGTGCCGTTGAGGAAACTTAAGGCGAATGGCTGCACATCTCCTCAAACACGTCTAGATTCGGACGTTGAGGAAACTCAACGCTGCGAGTGAGGCTTGGCCACCCGGTCGCTGGGGCGCACGCGAGCGCGCGCGGCGGTCGTTAGCCGAGAAAGATCGCCCAGCGAGCGCGGGGCGAGGATCGCCGCTCCTGCGCTCCTCAGCCGGTCATCGCCGCTCCCCGCGCTCGGGGCATACTCACACAGGACTTTCGTAGATGTATTTGAACGCTTTTACGGCCACGCCTGTATGCACATGTCCGTAATTACAGCTAAATTTAAGTTGGAATAGTCTTGGTGTGAGTTTGTCCTCAAAGCGGCCTGATGAAAAAAAAAAAAAAGCGGCCTGATGCGTTATTGCACTGGCATCTCCCCGGCCCTGGCCTACACAGTCTTCCACCGGATACAACGTACGGTCATTATAGCTGAATTTGGGGTATCTTTCAGTCTAAATACAGCTATATCTTTCAGTCTAAAATACAGCTATAATGACCGTACGTTGTATTCGGGGGAAGAAGGATAGCTGTCGCGTCGTAACACCGTCACGCTGTCGCACTTGGCAGACTAACATCCTCCGCGCAGACTCACATCCTCCGCGCCGCGTCAGATGTTGAGGGTGTCATCGCTTCTTGCCCCCCGCCACCCCCCTCTCCGCCCCCGTCCCCCTTCCTCCCTGCCCCTCCAACTCCTCCACGTCAGCCAACCCGACTCCTCCTTAGATAGGTTGACCGGTCCATAGGCCAACATTCAATCAATTCCAATTCAGTTAATGGATTCGGATTGAGATTCGATCGGGTCTCCGCAAGGATCTTGTGCGCGCCTTGGGGCGAGCGGCACCCCGCGCTGCAGGCAGGAGGTGGTCAATTGGGCGCCACCGCCAAAATTTTCTCCCTCGGCGGGAGAGGAGGAGGAGGGAAAGTCCAGCTGCAGTGGCGCCATGGCTTCTTCGTTGTTCCAGGAAGAAGGAGCAGCGACCAATGTTGGTCGGTCGGAGCCCTCTCCGCCACCATTCTTCGTCTGTACCTTCTCCGCTGCGTCTTCGACCACATATCTCGCGAAGCAAACATAGCAGAGCCCTCCCCATTGCGCGCGCGCGCGCGCGCGAGAGAGAGAGAGAGAGAGAGAGAGAGAGAGAGAGAGAGAGAGAGAGAGAGAGAGAGAGAAGGGGGTGCATGGTAATCATCGGTAACTTGGTGATCGTCGGCTGAGAGAGAGAGAGAGAGAGAGAGAGAGAGAGAGAGAGAGAGAGAGAGAGAGAGAGAGAGAGAGAATCCTCTTGGGGTGGTGATCATCGGCTGAGAATCTCTTCAGGCCCTCATTGCGCGCGCGTCGTCGGTGAACATAGATACAACACACTTCCGTCCATTGGCTTCGCCTCCTTTGTTTGACCAGACATCGCCCAGGAGAGAGCAGGCGCCCTCTCCCTCTCCACGGAGTCTTTCGCCCTGCGCCACTCCGCTTACATCCAGGGCAGCTGCCGCGCAGCATCTCGTCTCTCTATCCGCCCGTGAATCAGCGTGTGAAGCCCACTCATCGTGCGTGTTTGCATGCGCCTTGACCGATCTCTCTCTCTCTCTCTCTCTCTCTCTCTCTCTCTCTCTCTCTCTCTCTCTCTCTCTCCATGTATTTCTCGTGTTGCGTGTTTTTTTTCCGGGTAACCCGGGCCCAGGTTGACTAAACTTGTCACTCTCCCTTTTCCTGCTCCTCTGCCTCCTCCTGCGCCTCTCTCTCTCTCTCTCTCTCTCTCTCTCTCTCTCCCTATTTGTCTCGTTCCCGCCGTGCATTTCTCGTGTTTGCGTGCATTCCTGGCCTGGATGGACTGAACTTGTCCCTGTCCCTCTTCCTCCTCTTCCTCCCCCTCTTTTATCTCTCTTCCCCGCCGTGCATTTCTCGTCTGTCGGTCTATTCCGGGTAACCCAGAGCTTCGTGCATCCATTCGCCTGCTGTGGGTGGTGTGAGCCTCGGAGGCGTTTCTCCCTCTCTCGCAATCTCTCTCTCTCTCGCTTCTGCGGCGACGCCACTGCGTTTGCGAGAATGACCGTGCGGAAATGGTTGAGGAGAGTGGCGGCACGATGGAGAGGGATCGCCAGGGGAGGAGGAGAAGGAGGAGGAGGAGAAGGAGGAGGGTTATGGCAGGAGGCAGCCGATGGACGAAGATGCAAAGGTTATCACTCATCGGCAGCCGCCGGAGGACTAGAAGGGCGATCCTGGGGGGCGTTGTATTCGACGACGAGGGAGATGGGAGAGCGGCTAAGAAGGAGGAGGACTAGTACTACTACCAGTAGCAGTCGGGAATTGCAGGAGGCGGGATGTGTTTCGAGGGGAAGAGTCTGTGAAGGCCTGCGGTGCAGCCGACGGGCATCGTTGTGCCGCGGCCTCGCGCGATCGCGCCCAACTGCCGCCTCCTTTCTCGTGCTGGTTGCTGCTTTTCTGCTGTCGGCTAGATCTGTGTCAAGGAGAAAAGTCTCTCAAGGCCCGCCCCGAAGCCGACGGAGGGCATCCTTGTCCCGTCGCCGCACGCCATTGCTCCCAACTATAACCACCTTCCTCGTGTTGATCTCGACAGCTCTTCTGCTGTCGAACGTGCTCTCAATCTGCTCCGCATTGACACCGAGCCAAGGCCCTTGCAGTGGGAACACCACTATAACCATCCCTCTGGATACTTCGTGCGAGAGAGCAACCATCAGGGATCACCAGCAGACTAACTCCTCCTCAACGCCTGCCGCGGCTCCCTCTTCCGGTCTTCCGAACAGTTCTTCTTCTTCTTCTTCTTCTTCTTCCTCCTCGGCTATCGTATGCTTGTTCTTCCCCCTCACTTACCGTGTTGCAAATCCCCGTTGGACCCCGGCGTCGGTCCCGCCTCCTGCGAAGGAGGTATTCACGGCAATGCACCTCCCCGATCGAGTGACATGTAGAGTGCCGCACCCGGCCTCCTGCAGTGGGGTGCAGAACTACGTGGTCACGGTGTGCGTGGGGGTGAGAGAGGAGGGCGGGTTGCTCACCAAGAACGGATCTTGCGGCTTTGTCTCTCATCCCGAGTGCCTTGTGGAGGGTGGTACCTTCACCTACACTGTCCCTTCTATAGGCTTCTACCTTAGCAGAGGAGTTCCCTTTCTCTTGCCCTTGATTGTCTTCATCGGCTTCGTTATAGTGATGTGTCTGCTTGTCCATAGGTGTCGATTTCGCCGCGCTGTTGCCGCCAATTCACGTCGGCTTGAGGTGGGCGGGAACAGCGGCGGAGGGGAAGGGGAAGGGGAAGAAGTTCTATACTCGTCTCTCATGGGCCTGACAGTGGTCGTTGAGCGGGCGGAGGCGGCGGAGTCGCCTTCGCACTCACCGCGTGGGGAGGGTCAACAGCAGAGCGATGGAGGAGGAGGGGAGCGATTCCGAGTGCAGGAGGACAGAACTGGGTGTGGGCTTCGCAGGAGATGGGGACTCATAGAATCCACGGACTGCCTTGCGATCGTTCCACCCAATCCGTACGATATGCCGTTTCTGGGAGTGAGGATACCGCTGGAGATCCTCACATCATACCGGAAGAAGGGAGGTAGAATGGGAGAGGGGCGTGGAGGGCGGGAGGAGGGGAAGGGACAGGGCGAGAAGGGAGGGAGAATGGGAGACGGACGTGGAGGTGGGGAGGAGGGGGAGGGACAGGACGAGTTGTTTTCCTCCTCGTCTGAGGAGGATCTAATAGAAGAGGACACAGTTTCGCTGTCCAGTGGAGAAGTCGACCCAGCGGTTGTACCGGAAGTCTACATTTGTCCCAACTTCGAGGTCTAGGTTGGCGATCTAGGTTCGCTAAAACAGGAAAAAGATTTTGTAGGTAGATTGACCCACGTCGACCCCAATTCTATAAATAGAGATGACGATGGGCATACTTCGCAAACGACAACAGCTAGGGGAGTGCTTTTTAAAGATGGATGCATTTGGGGATAGTTGATCGCTTGTTTTTATGTTTGTTTGTTTGTGTGTGTATGCGTGTGTGTGCGTGTGTGTGTGCGCGCGCGCGCGTGTGTGTGTGTGTGTGTGTGTGTGTGTGTGTGTGTGTGTGTGTGTGTGT